ATAAAGGCAGACCTATCAAAATTACACCTGACTTCTCCATGGAAACCCTCAAGGCCAGAAGGTCCTGGATAGATGTTCTAAAAGTATTAAGAGAACACGGATGCCAGCCTAGGCTACTATATCCAGCAAAACTCTCAATCAATATAGATGGAGAGAACAAGATATTTAATGACAAAACCAGATTTTCCCAGCCCTACAGAAAGTATTGGAAGGAAAACTCCAACCCAAGGAAGGTAACTATGCCCACAAATATGTAGGCAACAGATAATCCAACTACACCAGAAACCAAGGATGAAGCAGAACTAATATATTCACAATACCACTGCCAACAACAAATCTAAATCAAACAAGCATCAACAATCAATGGTGATTACTCACCCTCAACATTAATGGTCTTAACTCACCTATAAAAAGACACAGGCTAACAGAATTGATACGAAGACAGAATCCATCCTTCTGCTGCATACAAGAAACCCATCTTAGCTTCAAAGATAGACATTACCTCAGGGTAAAGGGTTGGGAAAAGATTTTCCAATCAAATGGAAATAAGAAGCAAGCAGGCGTGGCTATCCTAATAGCTAACAAGTTAAACTTCAAACCAAAATTAGTCAAAAGAGATGAAGACGGTCATTTCATATTCATCGCAGGAGAAATCCATCAACACAAAGTCTCAGTTCTGAACATCTATACCCCTAATACAAAGTCACCCACATTCATAAAAGAAACACTACTAAAACTCAAAGCTCATATAAAACCTCACCCACTTATAGTGGGAGACTTCAATACACCACTCTCAACACTAGACAGGACCACAAATCAGAAACTCAACAAAGAAACAAAAGAATTAACAGAAGTTATGTCTCAACTGGGGTTAACAGACATCTATAGAGCATTCCATCCAAAGACAAAAGAATATACCTTCTTTGCTGCTCCACATGGAACCTTCTCTAAAATCGACCAAATACTAGGTGACATATCAAACCTCAACAGATACAAGAGAATAGGAATAGTCCCCTGCATCTTATCGGACCACCATGCTTTAAAATTGGAATTCAACAACAACACAAATAGCAGAACACCTGCAAACTCATGGAAACTGAACAATGTGCAATTGCACCATTCCTGGGTCAAAGAAGAAATAAAGAAAGAAATTAAAGACTTTCTAATATTCAGTGAGAATGAGGATACAACATACCCAAACTTATGGGACACCTTGAAAGCAGTGCTACGAGGGAAGTTCATTGCACTAAGTGCCCATATGAAGAAAACAGAGGATAGTCACATAAGAGAATTAACAGCCCAACTGAAAACCTTAGAACAGAGAGAAGCGAATTCACCCCGCAGGAGTAGATGCCCGGAAATAATCAACTTGAGGGCTGAAATCAACAAAATAGAAACCAGGAAAACAATACAAAAAAATCAATGCAACAAAGCAGAGACAGAACATGCAAATTAACAAAATAGAAACGAAATGGGGAACATAACAACAGACACAGAGGAAATCCAGACAATTTTCAGGTCATACTTTGAAAATCTGTATTCCACAAAAATTGAAAATTCAAAGGAAATGGACAAGTTTCTGGATAACTATCACTTACCAAAATTAAATCAAGAACAGAAAAACAACTTAAATAGACCTATAACCCACAATGAAATAGAAGCAGTCATCGAAAGCCTTCCAAAAAAAAAAGTCCAGCACCAGATGGATTCAGTGCAGAATTCTACCAGACATTCAAGGAAGAACTAATACCACTACTCCTCAAACTGTTCCACAAGATAGAAACAGAAGGTTCATTGCCAAAGTCTTTTTATGAGGCCACAATAACTTTGGTACCCAAACCTCACAAAGACACAACTAAGAAAGAAAACTACAGACCAATATCCCTGATGAATAAAATAATAATAAAATAATAAAAAAATAATAAAATAATAATAAAAAAATCAGGTAGCTGAACAGGTGATGGTGGCTCACATCTTTAATCTCAGCTCTAAGGAGGCGGAAGGCAGATTTCTGAGTTTGAGGCCAGCCTATTTTACAGAGCTAGTGCCAGGACAGGCTCCAAAGCTACACAGGAAACCCTGTCTCAAAAACTGAACCCAAAACAAACCAAAAGAAAATCCCAAACAAACAAATCAGCTAACTTTATGAACACAGCTTATCTGTGGGTCCTCAATTCCATTACTCTAGCCCATGCCCTAAAATCAAGGCATCTACAATACAGCTCCACATTGAGACAGGTAAAGACATGGTGAATCTTTAAGATTCTAGATCATATACTAAACAGTATTACTCCACTGTTTTATGCCGTAGTGGCACACTACTCCTCCATCTTTTCTAATGATCAGTACTGATGTCTCATGTTCCTCTGTAGGGTAGGTGGGAGAGAAGAGAAAGCCTCTGAGGGACAGCAAGAAGTAAATAGATAATTTCACATTAGTAGCATAAGTGAAGTCAGAGGAAGACAGGGGAGTGCAAACCATCCCAGGGGATTGTGAAAATCTTATAGAAGGCATGGAAAATTGCACCTGGCTCTCTGCAAGGATTCAAGGCAGTTTTGTAATCTCAAAGATCACATTGTAATATCTGAATACGAAGTCAGAAAGCATTTGTTGGAACTCCACCAGTAGCCCACCTTCTTCCAATTGTGATAAAATAAAGAAAGTTGACTTGGCTGCCTGTAAAATGAGGAGAATCTGAGACAAGAAAATTATAGCCAATTTATAGCCTTACAATGTTTATAACAATGATTCTACCTCAACCCATCACCCACCACCACACAAATATCTATAGGAAAAGCACACTATGTTCAAGAAATGGAAAAGATCACCTACTCCAACATGTGGAGAAAACAGAACTTCTATTTTCATTTACTTTTGGTCTGTATTTTGAAATATACAGAGTACTTTAATACATAGGTACATGTATATAATTTATGAATATGTATATTTTAATGATTACATATATAGATTATTTTTGTTAATGAAGATGTGGCCTATAAATTGATAGATAACAGACTTACAGATAAGATGTAAGTTTAGCATCCAGTCAGCATTTACCACAGTAGACTAACAAGTCAAAGAATGAGCTAAGCTTAGATAAACCATCAAGGATTCTTATACATCTAGCTGTCCCATGTCAGGTAGTTCCCTCTGGGGCTTTGGTGGATTGAAGAATATCAAGATTAATTATAAAATATCCTTGGAAAATATCTTAAGAAATAACAGTTTTACTTATAGTTGTAAATTGGTCTGCATGTCAAAAACCTGGGCAGGCGAATATTGGTAGAAACTTGATTTCTCTGCTTTTGTTGGTTCATAAGATTCAGACTAACTATAGCATTTTTTCATGAGAAAAGATGTTATTGATATTTGTGGTGGTTTGAATAAGATTGTACCCTCATAGACTCATATATATGTTTGAATGCTTGGCAATAGAGAGTGGCACTTGTAGGAAGTATGGCCTTACTGGAATAAGTGTGGCCTTGTTGGAGGAAGTGTGCCGCTATGGAGTTGGGATTTGACATCTCCTATCTTCAAGCTAAGCCAAAGTGTGATACAGTTTCTCTTTCTGATTACTGCAGATCAAGATGGAGAAATCCCAGCTCCTTCTCTAGCACTATGTTGTCTGCCTACCATGTCCTGCCATGATGATAATAGACTAAATTGCTAAAACTATAAGACACCCCCAATTAAATGTATATATATATATATATATATATATATATATATATATATATATATCAATCAACTAATGAACTTGAACTTTCAAATTTGTTCCCAGGGAAAGCAATTTCTTGTAGCCCTTTGCCATTTGTTCACTTCAATTTAAATAATCCTGTTCTAACCATTATGGACAGCTATTGCTGTTTGAGTTGGTCATAATAATCACTATGCTAAATATCAAACATGTATCAGTGACAGAGGAGTCCCTTACACTTCAGGTAAGCCTAGTTCTTCCTCAGAGGAGTTGGTTACTAAGATTTGAAGTGTTAGTCCTAAAACTACCTCTGAAAGGGAGTAGATACTTAACATTCTTTACCTGTTCATTTTACTAACTTATTTCCTTTTTTTTTTGAAAATGGAAACATTTAGAATAGTTTACAAAATTAAATGCATGATAAAATGACTAAAGCATATGAACTACCACCTGAAATTGCTGTTCATCCTATGAGCCATCATATATATATATATGTGCATACATATACATTCATACATACACACACACAGGGAGCAGGATGTGTGTTTGTGTTTGAGTATGGATGTGTATACACATAGCTGCATGTGTATGTGGACTCCATGGTCAACACTGAGATTATTTCTTGACCCTACTCCATTTTGTTTGTTGACCCAGGGTCCTTTTGAATCTGCAACTTGCTAATTAGGTTATACCATTAGGTTATGCCATTGAACTCCTAGGATTTTCTTGTTTCCATCCTTCACTAATTCTAGGATTATAGGTAAAGATCACAATGCTTGGCTATTTCACATACATACTGGAGATCTAAACTCTGTTCCTCGAGTTTGCATTACAAATAATTTGACTGGCAGCTGTATCCCTAGTTCCCTTATATATTTATTAACAGTGACATTTTCTCCATTCCATTCAAGATATCTTTAACATCTTGATTAATATTTACATTTTAAACTCTAAGGATGCATTTTTAAGCAAAATATTTTGATCTTTAAGATATGATTTGATAAATGAATTTTCTTCACATGTGTTGTTACTAGCTTCTTTCATCAAACAGCATTCTCATGAGCTTCATCTATGTGGTTTTACAGAGGTCATAAATTTCATTGGTATTTGATCAGCTGTTTTCACTACTACAATAAAAGTCAGCATTATCCTGTCTTTGAGCAAAAAAAAAAAAAAAAGAAATGAATAAATATTGTAATTTTTTTCCTTTCTCATCATCTACCATTAGTGATTATATTCCTTTACCCAGTTTACCTGAAAACAGTCATCAAACTGAGAAGTAAATAGGCCATGTGATACTCACTAACAACATTGGCTTGTCCAGTGAATATGGTGTACTGGAGTTCATAGGAGACCACACTGAACTCATCATCTGAAGTCCAGTGGACAGTGATGGTGTCATAGGAAGCCGTGCAGAGCTCTTCTCTAATTGTGGGAGGGTTGGGAGCTGTGGGCAACAAGAAAGCATATCAGTGGGGCAGCAGACACCATTGGAGATATTTAACTGTTAAAGCAAGCCTTCTTAAATAGGTCTCCTAAGACTACTATACTAGATATGGGAATTTCAGTTCCAATGTGTTTAGTTGCTTACTTATGGAGTTTGTTTGTTGTCATTTGTAAACAGCATAGCTACAATCCACCAACCAGAAAGAATTTATCTCAAGCCATCATTAGAATATATTTAGGAGACTAAGCAAAAAATAGCTTCTTGTATGTATAGAGAAACACAAAGTAACCAAGACAAACTTTCATAATCCCATTCACTTTGGGAGGTGGGGATGGAAATTTTTACCATAAATGACTAGATGGTAAAAGTTTTTCGTGTTGTAGGGCATGCTGTAGCTCTTGTAACTACTCAACCCTGCCATTGTATAATGAGAGCTGATGTAGATAAGTTGTAAATAAATGAGTATGACCATACTCTAGTAAAACTTTATTTACAGACTAGCCATAGGGACAGATTGGTCTAAAATCTGCTTTCACAGCCTCTTAGCTACCCAACACCAGACATTTGAATAATATTGTTATTTATTATCCCATAACAAATCAACTAAATAATTGAAATTTTTATTTTATTAAATATTTGATGCCTTGCTAAAATTTTTGGTGCACTCCTATTTTCTTCCTTTCATTTTTCAATTTGTAGGTGAACTGTTTAATTAAAAATATCACAATTGACAAGAAGTCCTCTTAGAAATACATTTTCATTTACTAAGAAAATCAAGAATGCTTACATTTGTTTCCCTTTATCTCTACATAAGAACTTTGTTTAACATAGTCAACAGCTGAGACGTTTAAATCCTATTAAAACAACAATTTCTAAATCACTTACACTGAATTAATTTCAATAAGTAATTTAATAAGTAGAATAAATAAGAAAACATAAGGCTACAAGTGTTGGCAATAATATTTTAAAGCAGAAGTCAGCAAACCATAGCTTTTTTTTTTACTATTTTATTTTATGTATGTAAGTATTTTGTCTGCATGTATGTCCACGTATCTTGTGTGTGCAGTCTTGTGAAATCCATAAGAGGGCATAAGATCACCTGGGACTGGAGTTACAGACAATTTTGAGCCACCATGTGAGTGCTGGGAATCAAACCTTAGTTCTATGGAAGAGCAATCAGTTGCTCTTAACCACTGAGCCATGACTCAGTCAGGTACTTTCTGTGTATGGCTGTTTTCATACAACAGTAAAATGGAATAGTTACAACCATATGGCCTGCAAAGCCTAAGACATCTGCCATCTGGCCATTTTCGTCAAAGTTTACCAGTCTGTGGTTTAGAGAATTGAGCCACAGCTTTTCTTTATACTCTTCTGTATACTGAAACTGAACTTCAAAGGGAGAAGCATGTTTGCATTCTATGTATTTAGAGCAAAGTTTACTTCCACCATTGCATAGGTCTTTTTGTTCTACATTAGTTTCTGTTTAGAATTGGTGACTTGTAAAGAAACTCAAAATGGGAGGAGCATATAAATACATGATAAATTAAAAATTCTGCTTTAACGGCCTGAAAAGACATTAAAGACAAGTCATGAGAAGCTCTGCCTGTTAGTTACTGAAGTTCACAAAGACTCCCCATTAAGAAAAAAAAAGGGCTCAGCTGGGTCTGATGGTAGGCATTTGTAATATCAATACTTGGAAGGCAGGGAGAATATGAGGATGAGGGTAGCCTAGGTTATATAGTAGATCCCATCTCAAAATTATATCTACAAATGAAAAGCAAGTAAACAAGAATGAAAGAAATGCAAGGCATTCATCATAACCCTTCAAGCATTTTTCTGGAAATGTGTGTTTGAACATCTGTCTTCTGAAGAGCTCACATGTGAAATTTAGTTTTGCATGGTATGACTTGGATATGAAAGAATTAGTGACACCATTCAGAAGATACCTTCTGTGCAGGTTCAGCTGTGTCATAAAATGTGCCTTTTTTTTGTCTCTGTGATCATTGTTGCTGTGGTATCATCCCTGCCTGAATCAGTGAAAAACAACTTAGTCTTTCTTAATTTAAATAGTCAATTGAATTCTTTCTCCATCAGCTATTGTGGAAAGAAAAGAGCTTTTGCTGTCTATGTGGCAACATGTGATTAAATAGACAGAACATGTAAGTTTAAAATAGGCAAGTGGCTGTGAGACACATGGCAGTAGCTGCAATCAGGAAGGAAATGTCACCTCCATGGGTTATTAACTTGACATACCACTTAGAGGCAAGCCACAGGGAAAAAAAATCTTGTTTGCACAGCCAGGCAAGCTAACCCTGTTTTGATTGTAAACCCAATGGGTTTGTCCCGCAAAGTCAATTCCTAACCTTCAGTAAATGAAAACTGCAGCATATTGCCAATTTCAATACGTACATACTCAGTACCATAACTGTTATTTTCTTGCCTTCATCACAAACACTACACAAGGAATGGTGGGCTAATTCACCACAAACACGTTGTTTCCTGCTTATAAATATCAGATAAACTATTTAGACTTGGTAGTATCAGCCAAGCATTGTATGTTATAGCCAAGACACATGTTACTTCTAGAAATGGACTGATTTTGGGGTTGACGTCTCAAAAGGCAAATTCTCAGGTACCCTATATGGCCTTTTGTTTGACATTAAAACAGCCGTTGTGATGACATGTGGCGTGCACATTAGAATTTCATGATTTTCTTTTTAGTCAATGAATTCATGTTCCTACAGACATTTAGGACATCTATATTGAATGCACTATAAATTGTTTGGAAATGAAGATACATTCTTGCTGATGAGACAAGTACAGCAAAATGTACTGGTACAAAAAGACCTAGGCAAATATTTAATTTTCTAGTTTCTTCTTGCCTTGGGAATGAGCCTGTGACATGGATCTGGTCCAAGAGACCTAAGTGAAAATTTTCTAGGTAGGTCTTTTGAGCACAAGTTTTTGTTTTATGATAAGCAAGACCATACTTGGATGGCCAGGGTTTTTTTGTTTGCTTGTCTTTTGACATTATTCCCTCTTTTTTTCCTATACTTTTGGATAAAATTTCATCCTGATACTTGTAGATAATTTTTGCTGTGAAACACAATAAATGAAGATGTCAGGGCAGGAAAGAGAAAAATGCAGGTAGTGATACAGTATCTATGAGTACTAGGTATCCGTTTAACTTCTAATTATATATAGCTCCATTAAAAAAAATCACATCTAACTATGTACATTGCAAGCTTTTAATAACTAATATGTTGGCTGTCATGGACACAGAACATTTCTATTACCACAGAAAGTTCTACTAGATGGCAGTAGTTTAGACAAATCTCAAAATCAAAAGCCAAAGAAAGGAGGCATTGTATCCATAAGTATTTAAAACCAAGTTTGGTTCCTTAATGTAAATGCTTATGCTTAGTGAATCAAATTCTTTCTTGTTTAGCAGAAGCCATATATTTGAAAGGCATAATTGTACAAGACAAAGAGATATTTTGTGGGATATCTATCTCACTATGCTTGCAAATGCAGGATAAAGGCAAAAGGGGGCAGCTGGGGTTCTCCCAGGGGGAAAAATCAAGGACTGGATACTTCTTGCTTTCTGTCCACACACTATAAAAACAAAAGCTACACAATGTTCCCTCTCTTTGACTCCACCCTCCCCAACCATGATCCCACAAGCATGCACATACTGGCTGGGAGTTGAGAAAATGATGCCATGTTCAGTTAGGGATGTGGTTTCTGGAAGGCTCTATGTCCTAAGTACAGGGCACATCTGGCTTCACTGTATACATGGTGCTTTCCTGAAGTCACAGGTCCTGGTGGCTTTGGCTAACATAAATAACTTTGTCTAAATAGTCCTCATTCTTTCTACCAACCACTGAGTCCAGTTCCTGCTGTGAAGACTAACAGCAAAGCAAAGATTAACATTTACTACTAGGAACATAAAAGTAGCCACAGTTTTTCTTTTCTTCCTGTTTCTTTTCTTCATTGTTTTCCAAACCAGAAATAATTGAGGAAAGAGAAAGAGAGAGAGGAAGGGAGGGAGGGAGATAGGGAAGGAGAGATGGAGGGAGGGAGGAAGGGAAAGAAGGAAGGGAAAGAAGGAAGGAAGGGAGGGAGAGAGGGAGGGAGGGAGGGAGGGAGGGAGGGAGGGAGGGAGGGAGGGAGGGAGGGAAAAGCCAAGCAGACAGTATAGGGTTGTAACTGGAAAGGCAATGCGAGTTCTGCCACGTTTGCCAGAGTAACATGAAATTCAGTATTTTTTTTTGTTTTGTTTTGTTTTTTGGTTTTGTTTTTTACTAGAAAGTGCAGAGGTCTGCGCAGTTCGTTACAGGACTGAGCCAGATCCCAATTGTCCTTAATACCTTTCTATTTGACCTTCAGCATGATGGCTTAAATTTTACCATTCCTAAAATGAGGACTACAATGGTTTTCCAATATTTTGAAACTGTGACAACTAAGATAAGATCACAATCACAAAATGCTAGAGAGGTATAGATGGTCAGTTACTTGGATTGCTTTTGTTTTCCCACCATTAATGTATTATGAGAGTCAGATGCCTCTTTCACATGATGAAACCTTCTGTATCTTCCTGATGGCTAGCACTGCTATTACTTGAACCATCTCCATGTTGAGAGCGAGGAAAATGGTGGTAAGGACACATTTAGCAATCAGGATTCTCTTTATTTTCTTGCCCCAAATTATACTTAGTCTGTGTTATTGGGGTTAAAAACAACCATAAAGTGCACATGAATCATTTATAGGACTATTAGGTAGCATTTCAAATTCTGAAGCACACATGTGGTTTTTAGAGAATAATTGATCCAGTGGCAAAGTGCTTGTGTCAGTGAATGTACACTATATTAGATAGAACATAAAAGACAGTAAGACAATACCTGTAAGGTAATCCAGACATTCTAGCAGTTTCTTCTCCCGAGAAAAATCTAAGGCAAAAGTGTCAAATGTGTCATTGAGGTTGATTTCAGGAATTAGGACCTGGGAGGATGCAGTTGCCATGGAGACTCTGTAATTTAAACAAAACAATGTTTTAAGGAATGTCAAGGTGGCTTTTATCATTACTGTGAAGAAATAAGAAAAAATAAAAAGAAAAGAAATATCAGGTCTTTAAAAATACCATCTCTGAATGGCAAAGCACATAAAACAAAGTAAAGAAAAAGCCAAGAAATTGGGCGAAATAACACAGTGCCCTCCCTTCCTTTATACTATCGGAAGAAATTCCCCATGGAGGCAAAAAATATTCATATTTCATGTTGCTATGTACTCAACAGCCTGGCCTAGTCACTTCTAACCCCAGCAAGAAGCACATAGCTCCAGGCATTTCTTCACACATCTGTCTGGGAAACTGTTTGTTCCTTTCAGACTCGCCCCTGATCCACTTCAAAGGGGAGTCTCCAAAATTTCAAAATGCATAAAAGGCAAAGTGAAGATTAAAAAAGAATGTTTCCAGATATTGGATTAGTTTAATCAATTACTAGCCTCTCTCTAAAATAAACATTAAAAGGGGGTTTTTGTCTGGCTCTTTTTCATTCTCCTTCTATTCACTTTTTTTTTTTTTTTGGACCATATTCCCAACAGATGCCATGGAAAATGGTCATAAGTTTGCTCACAAATTTCCCCAGTAGGCACACAAATTCTACATACTCAGGTTTTCTGGTGAGAGCTCTCATGTATATACTATAAAGCAAGGTATATGTGTCTATTTCCTATGTGTTTTTGAGTTGATTTGGAAAGTTCAGTTAGTAACAGCAGAACATTCCAACATGCAAGTAGTTATCTTAAAACCAAGAAAACCATGGCTTGAAGATTTTACTTCTGAGCATAGAAAACCATGCTAGACTTTAATCTTGATGTGTTTCCCATTTTTTGCTTCGTTCCAAAAATATTATGACACTAATGCTTTTTTTTTATTTTTGCAAAGAAAAACAAGGTTGAAATGACTTAACTATAAATCTACTATATTCCTGTAAAGACCATTGATGCTCATTTGTACAAGATCTTATAGCTAGGTGGTGATAGTCAGGAGGACTGCAGGTTTTTAGTCTCTCATTTCATGAGAACATTTTGATTCCAGCAAGTTACCTAAGCACTATAGCCACTCTTTTGTCTTTTAGTGACTCTTAAATTTTACATTTTTACGAAAACCCTATGTTGGCAATAAAAGTGACACTCAAGGGTCTACTTATATGGTGGAAATAGTACACAGCCACAAAAAGAAATTGAGGATCAGCACATACTAAAATATGGGTGAATCACATAAACTTTGTATTACAAACGTCTAGACAAAGGGTCATGAATCATATAGTTCATCCCTATAAAGTATTCAGGATAAGCATAGCTATTGAATTGTACTCTTTAACCAGTTATTTTTACTTTATGTCAATTCTACAACAATAAAAAAGATTACACAGGCAAAATGACCTAAATGTAGTTTCTCTAGCTGTATCTCTGTTAAAATTTCAATGTTATCTAGGGAACAAAGGAGATTATTCATTATGCAATGTCCTAATCATATTTCAAGCAGGATAAAAATCTAAGGCAATGTAAACATGGTAAATGAAATATTCAAGTGTAAAAAGTATTGTAGACAATGTAATGTCATTTTCTTATTAGCCCACAAATTCTCACTGAATAACAGCATTGTATGATTTTATTGACTAAACATGACATTCAAGGGACTTGAATTAATTATTGATACTTACAACAGCTAATGTAGTTGGGTGGATACAGGGATAGATGGTAATTAAACTGTACCTTTAACTAGTATTCACCAAATATTCATGAAGCCCTTAAAGTGTGCCATATACCAAACAGCCCAAAATATTTGTATCAATGCAGAAAACTTCAAAGAAATGCTCTAGTAGCATTTGCATGCCTCAAAAATATTTCACAATTCAAAGCAAAGCAAAACAAAAAAACAAAAACCCTCAGTGAGGTCTGTCTCATAATCCCCACCTGGGGAAACTGGGACAAGCTAGTAGGAGGCAAGTGCCAAACTTACAACAGCCTTTCTCTTAGGCTCTCTTGCAACCCAGATCTTGTGTCAATTGATGAGACTGCTGTGAATACAGATAACCAGGCTTTATTATTTCCCTTCTTGGAGGCATAAGCCTCTTTCTTCAGGCACATCCAAAACAGATTGTGTCTCCAATTTTGTCCTGTTTCAGAGGTCAACATACGATAAAATAAAATGTGTTTTTGTCAAATGACCGAGTAAATGCTCCCACTACTCTGACAATAGGAACTTTTAGTTGGAAGCAGAAGGAAGACAGTGGCTAGCCTGGGAGGCAAAGAATGACAGAAGAAATCTTCAGAGATTACTTTAATTTTTAATACCTACAGGTTTCCTTTCCTTGGTGGAAGGAAAGATAATTATCTTTGGCTATAATTTCAAGTCCTCAACTGGAGTGACAGGTAAAGGGAAATCTACCAAACTCAACACTTTAGTGCATGCCCCCCTCAAATCCTTGTTGCCCATCTTCTGGTCTTTTATGCTTCCAACATCCATTTGGATTGTTAGTTCCTGGCTTCTTCTTACTTCCTTGTTTTATAGTCATCTCTCTCTCTGTGTCTCTGTCTCTGTCTCTCTCTCTCTCTCTCTCTGAGTGTGTGTGCATGTGTAGAGGAACTATCCATTACTCATTACTCCTACATATCCTACATATGTCTTCCTTCTTGTTTGGTATCTATAATCTGTATAACACTCAGTTGTTAGTCATACAGGGACAGTATTCCAGAAAGTGGATGTGTCCAAAGAGACACTGTACACCAGTCTTTGTCAAACACCATACACAGCCATGGTCAAATACAGCAAGGTACCACAGAAACAAAATGTGTTCAACTATTGTCAGCTCAAGATTTCCCAAAAATATTTGGGCTCGGCAATGTAGTGTTGTTTTAACTTACCAATACTCTTTAACTATTAACTTACCAACGCTCTACAGATAGCATTTAAAAACCCACACACGGGATATGTTCTGACTCTTAGAACCAAGTAACTTTTCTCCAGAGTTGCCAAATGGAATTCTTGTCCTTCTGTTTTTAGAAAAGCCTGTCAAATCCTTAAACTGTCTGTGTTGGTAAGGAATAACTCCCAGTAGAGAGACTTCTAGGTGATATAAAAATGCATTCTGTTCTGAAGGAATTTTCTTAGCATCCTTTTGATAAAGACAATTTGCTGCTAAAAGTAATTTTAGATTATTTGGAAAGCGTGTGTGAAGTTTCTTATGCCTGTATTTAGTGTATACTTCTGCTCATTTAACATGCAATCATACCAATGGCGGCTTGAGAACAGTGTGGTACACATCATATATGGAACTATGCAAGGAACAGGAAAGGAGGGAATTTGTTGCTTGTTAACCTCCGTGGAAAAAACAGGGTTCTTTTTATTTCTGTATTCATGTTACGATTATAACAACTCTATTTTGTAGGAATAACTGCATTGTGTATAGGTCAAGTAATTCATCCATGTAAGATAGTTTTAAGTACAGTGAGGCTACCATTGTGAAAATAAGATGGCTAGATTCCTGCATATTTGAAGCATATAAGCAAAACTGGACTCAGAAATGTTAATAGGAAGTTAGGACAAAGCCAAACAGTGGATTTCAGAAAAGATGCATCTCACATAATGTAAGGCTTGGGACTTTGACTGCATGTGTGGATTTATTTAAATGCCTCTTAGTTGAAAAAAAATTATATAATTGTGATTCGGTTTATAGAACACACCAGGTTGTTTTGTGAATACTTTTATTTATACATTCTCACTTTAGGAATGCCTGCAGAATTGAAAGTGTGTTTGAATAAAAGTGTTGTAAAATATTTAGGTGTCAAATCCCAAGGTTGATAGACTAGAATAGACCCCAGAAGGCATATGTTTGACTTTTAAGTGGAAGGATGGAGAATGAAGCAGGTAGCCAGTACAATGGAAAAGGCAATCAAGAAAGGTGAGCTGAAACCCTGAAGCAGGTAGCCAGTACAATGGAAAAGGCAATCAAGAAAGGTGAGCTGAAACCCTGAAGGATTAAAACATCCATTCAGGTAGCACTCACAGTGTCTGTGATGGTGTTCTGGGGAATTTTCAGCATTGTTGTTATTATATGGATAGCTACTACGGGCACATTTCCCAAGTAGAAAATTGCTCCAGCACAGTGGTCTCAGAAATAAAACCAACATAGGTAAGGATTCCTTCAGGACAGCTAGGTGAGTGATAACAAAATTCACTCATCCCCATGGGTGTAAACACTTGCAACAATTCTGGTGGCTTCAAAGAGAATCACTAGGATGAGCTAGACACAATCAATCAATAATGCATAAATGACATCTCTGAGCAAAGTGGGTAGTGCTGAGATTTGCATCTTGGTCTCCCAACATCTTGTCCCAGCCCAGTCCTCTATTGTTATACCCCAGATCATAGAAAGAGAAGGAATGATGACTGGACCAAGGAGATTGGCAACTAAGAGATGACACAGTAGAAACAGGGGGACAAAGCTCTGCCACTGACTATTTCCAGGTGTTCTGTATTCCTACTTGACAAGGGCATGTTCTTTATGGAAACTGGCACAAGTCACTCTTCCTTTCCTGATAATATGCTCCTAGTACAAGAGGAGATAATGGAAGGAGATATCTCACAAGATCAGAGGGGAACCAGTGTGCACACATATGTGCATGCAGCTGCATGTGGTGTCCTTTAAATACAAGTCTCTTCAGCTCTAACTGTTAACTGGCCACTTTCTCTGCCAGTTAGATGCAAATTTATTCAGGCTTCATTCAGTTAAATTTGTAAAGATTGCTGTAGAATGCCATATAAAGTTGCTGCTTCATCTGGATATGCCCGATTCATAAACAGAGTAATGGACTCTCAGACCATGGTGGGGACCTCTGTGTAAACCATCTCTAGAGTGTGTTGGATGCAATAGAAAGCAGTGGTGTTTAAGTGTTTGGGTTTTTTTTTGTGAGAATAAAGAATAAGAAATTGGTTTAGAGGAGGAGTACAAAGAATTAGCCACTTGAAATCTAGGAAGCCACAAGGAAAGAAACCTGTTTTTCTTGCAATAGGGAGGAAAGTGTCTTAAGGGCAGCTGTTCGTTATTCATGTCTTTTGTGGGAGATAAGTAGCTAATTAGCTGCAAAAGGAATTTTTCAAATATAAGAAAACAGTGAAGCTGGCTGACTAGTAGGAGACCAGGGTAATGAAAATACTGTATACTTGTAGAGAATGGTGAAATGGTGTGCAAGCCAAACAAACACCTGTAAGTGTTGGTTTTCTTTCTCCTTCTTTTAACAAATTTAAGTCTTAAGATGGTGAGCATGTCTCCCCACTACAGCCACTACAGCTACTACAGCCCTGGGTTGGCAAGGGAATGCCTGTGGATTATTTGTGAATGGTTTCCTTGGCACACAGCCATGCCCACTTGTTCCCTATGGCTAATGTGGAACTACCCAGGCAGCAATGAGTAGCTGTGATAGAATCCTTATATCCTGCAAAGATGAAAATAGTTTACTTTCTCAAACAGTGTGGTGGTCTCTGATCTAGGATAGAGATCAGGATGAATGAGTCCTCTGGAGTCTTTTAATAATACAATTGTAAAGCAATTGTAATGTAGTTTTGCATAAAGAGCAGTTGAAAATTAAAATAAATAAAAAGTCAAGGCGTTTGGTGTTGTCTAGAGATGTCTTTTATCCAGACCATCCTAGTGCTTCTCTTTGGATCCACTGGATTTATTGCATACGTCCATGTCCAGGGAAATGAGTATATTTCTATACAAAATAAATTAATTTACCAAGAGAAGACTCCTCTTCCTACTGAGCTGACTACACAAGTAATTCATTTCTACTTTTCCTCCCCAGGAATAGATGGTATTTTAAAAGAAGGCAGTGGAAGGTTGGCTGTTTGACCTTTCTCTCCCATGTGAATTAGCCTTGGCCTTTTCAGGTGATGTCAACCTTCTAGGCCAAGAAAAACACAAGACAAAAAGAGAAAACACCTGCAAAGTAGTTTTCTTTAGAAAAATGGACCATGCAATGGAAGATAAGTTTCTCTTTGATGTGTGTTTGTTTTTCCTGTATGTCCATTCTTTGTTACTAAGGCTATGATAAGATCAAGTTTGAGAATCACAACAAATGCTGTTCCTGTAACCCACTCTCCACACACAAAATGGTTGGTTTTATTCTAAGTGGTGAACTGCTGATATGAAGACCTTGAACTCTAGGCTGTTATAGAAAGAGTTTTGTTTTGTCAAAGGGAATCATCCTTAGCTGGAGCAAAACAACAACAATATCTATTTTCTCTGGTATTCAACCTTGAAAATGAGAGAAAAAAAAAAAAAGTCTGGTGAGAGCAAGGCCAACCAGTCACACCCAGAAACAAGCAATCAGCACCCTGAAAACATTCTAGCTGTCCCTGCACTCACCTCTCAGTGATATTCTTTGCTGTCTGTAGAAAACGGGCATGGTCATTCTCCTTCAGAGAGTGTTCCGCTTGGGAGATGAGTGATGACGACCTTTCAATGCACTGTTTACAGTTCGCAATCTGCTGAGCTAGTTTGCGGAGCCTCATCACCTAGAACAAAGAAGCGTGGCAGGCATGATTACACTCCATGCTCACTTGTGAGAAGGTGCAGGGCTAGACCCTTCTGAAGTGTGTGTTCTATTATGTCTAAGCAGAGAAAGATAGAAACCGGGAACAGTCAATTATGGAACTTAAACTTTATTCCTTGGAGATGAATTGGTAATTTGTTTCATGAGGAAACACTGAATTGCAAATTACTTCCCTGTTGATGGGGGAATAAAAGGTGTTGTCCAGTGGCAAGTGACAAAGAGTCACTGAACCCCTTCCCTTTACTATTCTACATAATTACTCCTGGACTTTAGGGAACCCTGGAACTTTCTCCATCTCAGATTTTTCAGCTGTGCCATTAAGAAATGAAAGCATTTCTGTAAGTGTAAATATGAGGCTTAAGTAACAATCATTTTCTTAAAAGTTCTTTGTAATCCATGTAATAAAATTGTGACATAAAGGCATTTAAGTAGCTCCTATTTCCCATACTGCCTAAAACGTGCACATTACACTAACAGAACAGGAGCATTTTTCCCATTGATTAATATTTTTCCTATTGAACTGAGGAGAGAAAGCCAAAAAAAGCACAGCTGGGCTATTTCCTTTCACTGTAAACGTCATTTCCAGGCACTTTGTGCTCACTTGATAAGTAATAACTATTTTGATAAGCATTTCCCATTTGGGAAAAAACACATACTTGTTTCACAAGCTCCATTCCAGTTCCTGATTCTGTCTTGCTTGAAAATGACCCTCAAACATAATTGACCATAACCTATCAGGCAGGCCAAGATAAGTCCAAGGTAACCCATTTGACCATGGCTTTGGTGTTTAAAATGTGCTGTGAGCTGGAGCCCCTCCAGCCAGAAGACAAGTTAAATTTAAACCAGTAATTGGAGTCACCTCATGCCTAGTGTCCCCATCTACACAACAAGGGACAGGTTGTGACTGACTTTCTGATAATTCTGGAGTGGAAAATAACCTTGGGTGAAATGGTAGGGACGAAGCCTGGTTAATCTGTCTCACAGACAAGGCAGATGCAGGCTCTCTCCAGAATTCCTGCTAACTCCAAGAAATTTCTGTTTTCTCCAAGCCATCATTATCATCCCAGGACAACTCTAATCTTGAGGCAAAGGAAGGAAGGAGATGTCAGATCTGTAGGCCTCTAGGGAATGGCCAGTTCCAAGTATGTACTCTAGCAAACAAAGAAAACTAAAGCTGACTTGAGAGGTGGCAGGCCCAAGATTTCAGGCAAGGCTAAGAAGAATCCATGAAGATAATGAGTAAGAATGAAATGTCTAAACTTGGCAGCCAAGCATATGTGATATAAAGCATGGTAAAAATACATCATTCATTATAATAGTAGTTCTTGTTCTTATCAGAATAACTGTGTACCTTAGTTGAATAAAATAGCACCATTTTACACCAAATAGAACAGAGCTTCTGGCAACATTATATATAGAGGCAAAGCCAAGGCAGGCATCCAGTCTAATTCAGGATGTTATAAAACATCCATTAGAAACTGTCAGAGGAAGGGAAAATTCCAGAAGGAAAAATAAGTTAATAGCCCCCAAATGAATGGAATATTTAATCATCTAATGTAAAGAATAATCTAAATTACGTGGCCAATTTGAAAATTTTTGATACAATTCTAACAAAAGAATATGAGGTCCGACTATTCTTCATGTATTTCATGGAGTGACTACATGTATTACAAATTTGTCAATAGCTGAACTTCATTTTCATCTTTCTCTGCTTCCTTCATCAGGATATTGGAAATTAAAAGTGACATACAAAGACAATAAAGAAAAACACTAAATTTTGCATATATTAAAGCAAAAGACTATGAGATCATCCTGTGAAACTATAAGAATGTTCTAGAGAGAACCATTTAGTACGTACTTTTTATTATAGGTCAGTATACAATGGCATTAGAGATTCTTAAACACTATGTACAAAAAAAAAACAAAAACAAAAAAAATCAACTGAGAAATATTTCAAAGGAAAACTAGATGTCTGGGCACATCCTCTAATATTCTAATTAATGAGCTATAATTGGCAGAGCAGCAGTAATTTGCATTTTAACAAGCAGTGACTGTTTTTAAATCTTCAGGTGATAAATCACTAGTATGAACAGGACTAGCATTTAAAACACCAGTCTAGTTTAATCTTTGAGTCAGTCCATAGACATCTGCCATATATGAATGACACTTAGACATTTTTGGTCCTTCCTACAAGTGGAGGCCCAAACTCTGTTTCCCAGTTTCTCTCCTATCTGTTTTCTGTCACCTATGCATTTATCTGCAAAACTGTTCATTTATCACATTCCTATCCCTGTGTTTTTTCTTTTGGTTCTTTCTCTGTGGTTTCACATGTTTATTGCTCTTCTAAAGTAAAAATGATAAAAAAAAATCTCTGAATTGTTTCTTTGGCTTATTCTCTCACTTGGGGTAAGATAATGCTGCTGATTTTGTTGGCTGTAGTTTTAGAAGCTAAAGATTTCTTTGTTTGCTTTGGAACTGAGGTTAGCATTTCTGCTTTAAAGAGAAGAAACTGAAGATACCACCTTGCTTTCCCTTAGTCCATCTACTCTAAAAGTTTTACAGTTTCCTTCACCTTATCTGGCCCATGGGCTCAGCACTCTAGAATCCTGTCCTATCTCTCTCTCAGACACCTGTCTTGTGTGATATCAGAATAAGTGGGGCCCACTTAACAATTGATGTGTTTCAAAATCCCAGAACTGAAGATGGCCAAACGCTATGATGCCAGGAAGACATTGACAATAAACTTTTCCAGTTCCTTGTAATGAATGAGGAGCCTTCTATTGCCCAAGGCACTAAGGTACAATTCTACTTTCTGCCCTCCATCAGATCCAAAGCAATTATAAATACTTCCTACAAAACTTAAAGAGCACTTTTATCCACAGGAGTTGGAAATGCAGCTGACTTCTTGACCAAACCTGTGCCTGTGCATTGTACTTTTATCCCATTTCTGCTCTGTGGAAATACTTTTCTTATTTCATTCTGCCCCGTTTTACTCTGTTCCTATTAATGGTGTATGTTTGTAGTGGAGCAAATGCTTCAAAGAATGAACTCTACATACCACCATGGCTAAAACTGGAATACCATTTACACTATACTCTATCTCATAAGGGGAATCCCAATGCCAAGAAATCCAAGCCTAGGCTATGTAAGAGTAAAGAGAGCTATGTTGAAGTGTCATTGCAATCTGAATATGGCCTCTCAATGAGGTTCACATGTGGACCTTGTGACTCTTTGAATATGTTACCTTCCAATAAAAAGGAAATTTGTAGATGAGTAAGTTAAGAATCGTGAGGAGTTGAAGTGGTTCAGAATTATGTGGATTATTTCCAAATAATCTCTAAGGTCGTAATAAAAGAGAGACAGGGAGTTCCATGTTAGAGAAACACACGGAAGGATGGAAATAGAAAGTAGAGTGCTATAATGAAGTAGTTGTGAACCAAGGCCTGAGGATGGCACACACACATTTGAAAAGGCAAGGAATAGTTTACCAACACTGCAACAGCCTACCTAGCCTTTAACTCAGGCAGACTGCTTTTAGGCTTCTGAACTCCAGAATGCTACAATAATCAATAAGAGTGCTCCAAGCTACCAATTTTATGATAATTTGTAATAGCATATAGAAACTACTATAAGAAGAGTACACAACCAACTAAATAGAAGTAAGCCCTTTTTAAAATTTAAGATATATTTCACAAATTAATACATATACAAACAGTAAACTACTGAACATTTTAAAATTAATAGAGCATTCAGTTAAAGAATCTATCACCACATAAACAAGTGTTTTACATAACAAATATGCTATTTACGTTGATTTACTTATTATGTATTATATTCATAAACCATGACATCACATCATACCCAAATAGTATATACATCTATAAGTTGTCTATTTATTATTAAACCCAGAAATTTTCAAAGGAAATTTCTATAGGTAAGGAGAGTATTGATATCTGCACACAACCATGTGGCAATAGCAAATTATCTTCCGTGTGTAACAACAATTAATGATGGCTATATTTCAGAAAACCAGGCCTCTGAGAAACTAGAAGATGGCAGTAATAAGTTGTGAGTCCACATTGTACACAATGTTTCTGAAGAGCAGTTGTTATCAACCTTTTTAATGCTGCAACCCTTTAATACAGTTCTTCATGATGCGGTGACCCCCACCCATAAAATTATTTTCATTGCTACTGATAACTGTAATTTTGCTTCTGTTGTGAATCACAATGTAATTATCTGTGTTTTCCAATGGTCTTAGGCAACCCCTGTGATAAAAAGGTCATTCAATCCCACAGAGGTTGCGACCCACAGTTTGAGAACCACTGCTCTAGGGGGAAATGTATCCTCAATATATTCTGGATGGACACTTCCTACTGTAATACATGCAAGGGCACTTACCAAAACATGGTGCTATGCTATTCAGAATTTTCAATCACCAGAACTGTGGATCAAATAATCCTCTTTACTTTATATGCCATACTGTGTTAGGTATTCTATTAAAACAATACAAAATAGACTAAGGCAGATACATAAGAAAAATATGGAAAATACAGAGTTATGATTTTGTATTTTCAAAGCTGCAGCTGTGCATGAGAGTATATATTCTCAAGCGGGAAATATAAATGACTTCTGCCCAGGAAATCATACCTTTCCTTCTTTAATCTTCGTTCCAATAATTTGTCGTCTTTGCTGAATGATTTCAATGAGAAGATCACATTCTTCTGTCAATTTGGCTTCTTGACGTGATGCATTGACCTACAGGATGAACAAAATGGCATTCATTTGGCCTTTCAGGTAATTGCTATTGTCAAAACATTAATATGCTTCTAGAAATCTCTAGGTTACTAGAACACACACTTTATATTTTAATTCTTCTTCCTACTGTCTGCAAGAATGGCAAATATAGGTCCTGTATGCCTGTCTGCTTTATATCCTCGGAAAACATAATCCAGTTACGATACTCTTTCTGTTAAGCCAGACATGCCCTTAGGAACAAGCAGGGAACAGATATGTGAAATGAAATATATTTGTCATTCCTGTCTTGATAAACTTGAAAAATAAATTTAGAACCCATTTAATCTTATTAATTTATTGAGAACAATTTTTTCTTAAAATATTTAACAGAAGTTTCTCAGAAACAATGCAGCAGCTTACATTATATGTTCACTTAGCATCTTTTATATGTTAAAGTTTGGGTTTAATCCCTGTAAGATATCAAATCACAAAATGATGGTTTGATGTTTTATTAATCGTATGACATAATTTTAAATCTTATTCCTGGTGTATTTAGATACAGAGGTTGTACAAATGAAAGCACACCATCTTTATGTAACACATGCAGAATTGCCTGTGTTTGAAAATTTGGGATGCATTGTATGGGACAGAGAGTTACAATTAGCTCACTCTTGGCAACTGTACTTGGGAAATAGCACACACATGCTATTTCCTCCACCTTGTGACCACACTGAAATGCTTATTCACAGAGAGAAACCCAGAAATCCCAGCTGTGGGAGATGGAGATAACATCCACAAGGTTTATTATTTTAGTACAGCTACAGGAGGAGCCGTAAAGTTTCACAGGAAGACAATGGCACTGATGATTTTAGCATATCTCATAAAGAAGACAAGGCCCAGTTATGAGTTCTTTTGATTTTGGTAATGAGCTAGGATAATTTCATTCTTTATGAATGAGATAAACTGGAAGTAGTACTGTGAGTTCAGGATAAGCATCCAGTCAACATGGCTCACATAAACTATGTCCCTTTTTAAGAGTCCTAGGATTCTTTGAATTTTATCCTTGATCATTAACAGACGCCACATAAAGATGACACAAGACATTTTATTGAGAAGGTAGTGGTCACCAGACATTTATAACAAACCGTGAGACATTGTGTCCTATGTTAAATTATCAAAGAAGTATTGGCTAACTGTCTAATTAAAAAAAGACAAAAGAAAGAACTGATTGAGAGGTACAGAAATCAGGCTGATAATTTAGGGAAGATAATCAGTGGGTTCAAATTCTCTCACCATTATTTTATGTCATCATTTCTAATCCCCGTAGAGGTTTTCTAAGTAAATTTAGTTATATGTTGAAATATTTACTTAAAACTTACTCTCAGTCAAGGTCTTATCTTTCCTTTTCACATCAACATAATTTAGTAACTGATTTTAACTAAGATGTGAAAATGACCCATGTTGATAACATGAGCATATTACAATGAAGGAAATGAGATGTTTGGAATGTGGCAATGGTTAAAATTCTTTTCTTGATCAAACTTTAGTTAAGTTTTTGAAATTTCTCCTAGGTCCACCTGTGCACGTTCTTGCAAAATGTACTTTTCACAGGAACACTGCTAAGTTGTTTAATCAGAATCTTCCATCTTGGTCACCCTTAGTATCTGACTTTCTGTAGATATGTTTCTCTTAATGATTGATGAATAAACCACTGATTGGCCAGCAGAAGCAGGAAGATAGATCAAACTAGGATACAAGTAGAATGCTAGGGAGAGAGAGGCAGAGAAAGGGAAGCCATGTAGCCAAGGAAGGAGTAACAGGTCCGGATCCTTCTCTAGTAAGATAAGACCACATGGAAATACTTAAATTAATAGAAATGGGTTAATAATTGAAAGAGAGCTTGCCAATAAGAAGCCCTAGCAATCAACCATAAATTTTATAATTAATATAGTGCCTGTGTGTTTATTTGGGGCAAATTGTCTGTGGGAACAGGCAGAACAGAAACCTCCATCTTCAATGTTCTACCATGACTGGGGTTATGCTTGATCCCTTGGTCTGTTTTCACCAGGAATACAGTTATCCAGAATCCATAGCCATAAGCTCCATTACTTACATTTCCTTTTAATAGATCCATTCCTCTTTCAAACTCTCTGAAATTTGATTTATTGCAAATTAGAAAAAAAGTGTTCTGCAGCTTTCATAGTAGTATGAAGCTCAACTGTACAGATTTCATTTATATAATGGATTGGTTGTCTTTACAAAATTAAAGAAAATGTGGACTGAGATATACTTTGTTGACCCAAACATATTCTGAGAAACTGGACACTGCCATCAAGATCACCTTGAAACAATATTTCCAGAAATTTGGAAATATGGTGTGTCAAATTCTAAGCCATATATGTTCCTACATTTTTAAAAAGGATACATATAGCTGTTCTTTGAAACTAGAAAAGTTGAATCTCTTTTTCTACTTTCATTAATTTCCAAATATCTGTTACTGTAGCATCTTATATTCCTACAGGTAGCCTAAAAGAAGTTGGATAACATCATACATTTCTAAAATTATTTCCCTATAATGACATTTTCCAGTTTTACTATATCATGTTAGAGTTGATGATCTGATTGACTTCATTTCTTTTGGGTGTGAAGGTGACAGATGTCATCAGGCATTCCTAGTTCATAGGTTTGGTTTGGGAAGGAGCAGATCTTGGGGATGATTTTAGATTTCACTTTTGATTCAGATCTTTTGACAAATCATTGTGGCTGACAGAAGTGCTCTAAGTAGATCCATCTAAAGATACAAAAATAGAAAACAAAAAGCAAAACAAACAAACAAAACAATCCCTAAACCTTCTTTCCTCAACATATGCTTCCACTTTTGTGTCATCAATGTCTTTCTTTGTTCCCAAACTATAGTTTGTGTGGGACTTCCTGTATTTGGACCACATTGGAATGGGGAGTTAGATCTCCTCACAAATCAAGGAAAAATATTAATATAAGTTAACTGATCAAGAAAATATGAATATAGCTTAAAATTGGAATCTATCTCATCTCATCCTCCTCAGTGCAATTGTTCTCAAGTATGTTGACAAGCAAACATCAAGTCATCTCCTAAAATTAAGATGCACAGCTGGCTTTGCCTTGTTTCTCTTTGGGACTCCCCATGTGCTTAGCATATACTTTCTCTAAATCTAGAGCCACAGCTTCCTCTTGAAGGCCATCAACTCTTCCCTATGGTTTCCTCTTGTTCTTTAGTACTTGCTCCACTTTTCTCCAGTTAATTCTTCTCAAGTTAGAGACAACTTCAATTCCAAAAACCAAGAATGTATATTGTCCCTCTTGATAAGCCTCCAATTTGTTATCTGAAATGTCAAGTGCCATAGCCAATGTCATGCTGGCAGAAGTCTTGACTATTTTTAAGAAAAACCTGGCAATCTTCCTTTGAAAGAACGAGATTAAAGCATTGGTTTAGTCATCTATCCATTCATTTAAAAACAGCTCCTTTGTTTCTGTGTGATACCAAGCAGCATTTCAATGGCTGTATAGTTGGTTATAAGAAGGACAGAATGATTGTTATTTCAAAGTTTACATACAACTGTATGAGATAGATTAAGTTAAAAAGAAATAAAAATTTAAGATTGGGACATTGTAGGAAAGAATTTGGAGAGGGTAATATTATTAAACATGGCTGAGAAGAGAGTCCATTTTCTTGCAAAGATGCTAATCCTTTGACAAGTCAAGAGGTAGGAAAAGGAACTAGCCAAAAGATGCAGACAGGGCAAGTAGAGGTTCTCTTGATGCTGCATCCAGACTAACTTCCTAACAAATAGCATCAGTCCATCCCCAATAACTGTCAATTATGCATGCAATATTTTGTTTGTTAATCCATAACTCTGGACCAGATATCCTTTCAACTTCATTCACAAAGAGCATTGAAAAAGATGCCTTGACCTGTGTGTCCAAAACTGAGGTAGACTATGGTGTTAATCCTCTGCCTTCTTATTTATTTATTTATTTATTTTCTTATTTTACATATAAATCCCAGTTCTCTCTGGGATCTCTCTCCCTCCCTCCTTCCATCTCTCCCACCCTCCCATGTCCCGACCACCCTACCATCACATCTCCCCCCCCCCACTCCACAGGTAGGGTGATGCCTTCCAGGAGGGGTCAACAAAATCTATCAAGTCATTTAGAGAAGGGACCAGACCCTCCCTCCTGCCTCTAGGTTAAGGGAGTATACATCCTGTTCCCACTGTCAGAGGTACCTTATATTGCCCAGGCCTTTTAACTGAGACCTATGTTCAGGGGGTCTGAGTCAGTTCAATTCTGGATTCCCAGCTATTAGCCTGGGGGCCCATTAGCTCCTCCTTGTTCAGGTCAGCTGTCTCTGTGGGTTTCTGTAGCCTGGTCTCATCCTCCCTCTCTACATCTGGATTCCAGATTGGCTCAGTGTTTAGTTGTGGGTGTCTGCTTCTGTTTCCATCAGCTACTAGATGAGGGCTCTATGATGGTGGATAAGTTAGATGACTAACTATTCTCTGTGTTCTATGCCAGGTTTTGTATAAAAGTATCAATAGGATGGAGACAATGTGGTAGGCTCTGGCACTGGGCTGGAGGCACCACATGAATTAAGTACAGTGGAGTTTTCATACTAGTCACTCACTTCAGAGCCTCCTTTGCTCTCTTAGTAAGAAAAATGTAATCTACAAGATGAGTTTAAGGATTTGGTAAGATTATGTTCTTGCATGTACATAAGTGTATAAGAGACAATGGCCTTGGGAAATTCAGTGCTCATAGTGGCTTGACAGAACACAACTCTTGCAAATAATAAGAATAGACACTTATTTCCCACCTGTTTGGTGAGTTCACAGTTGCCCTAAATATTTTGGGAGCAGGGAGGGTAGACTAGGAAGGGAAATTACATAATCAAGGAACATCAGAAAAGCCTTGCTTGTAAAAACTTGGTGACCTGCTTTTTGCTAGTGATTGGGTCAACTTACTGCTACTCAGACATGATCTTT